GCTGCCAAGGTACGTCCTACCTAAAGAGAGTAGCAGTGACTCAGTCCCGTCAAGTACGCCCAGGTGGAAGTGTGGATCTAGGGTTGCCTGACCTTCTGACTTTTTCAGAAATGCTAGAAACCTGGATTGCTTTTTTTACTAATGTACAATTCGCAAAACATTTGAGCCAAACCAAGTGCATCTGTGGCTTAATTTCACCTGTGGCTGCTACTTGGCAACCTCTGCCCAGAAGCCAGAGTTGCAGGGTTGGAATAGATGTTTCTTTACCACCAAGCAGATGTCTTGAGGTTTAACCTGCTAAGCGAGAAGGGGACCCATTCACCTCCACAGACCCTGGCTCAGTCGGCACTTCAACTTGGAAATGTCCTTTGTTCTCCTCTCCTGCCTTCCCCTTAGCTATCTCTCAGCAGAGAGAGATGACTTTCTACCCTAACCCTAGAATAAGGCCATGGCTGATTGGCTACTGCAAGAGCAAGAGATCCTACAGCTCAGCCATTGTCTGTACAGCCTGCTCATGCCTGGGGAGCCAGGCCTGGGATCCCAGGCGGCTGCAGAAGAAACAGGCTGTGGGGAATTATATTGGCAGCATCCTTCAGGAGGGTCAGATTCCCACAGGCACGTAGGCATCTTGCCTACAGCTAAATAGAAACAATGCCAAAACCACTGGTCAATTGGTTTGATTCTGCCCAGCTGATTATTGTAACTGGCTGACAGGCGGATATTTCCCTCTCCCTTTCAATGGGTTTTGGAAAGTGAGTAGACCTAGCTCAGGAATCACCCTTCTAGTGGTTATGTAAGGGGAAGGTTATCTCTTTCCACAGGCAGAACTGTTTCTGCCTTTTGGCTGCCTGAAGAATGGAATCAAGTTCAACAAAAGTCAAGTGCCAGGAAATTTCAGAACTTTCTCACATTCCATATTGCATTGTCTACAAAGGTCTTTGAAATTTTCCCTGCTCCAATACAAGGAGGATATACAGAATTGAAGAATGAATTAGAACAGAACCAACTACAAAATGGGAAAAAGAAGAAATCAAGCAAGCAAGAAGAAATCTAGCGAGAAAGCAAGGGAAGAGAAAGAAAAAAAAGAAAGAGGAGAAGGAAGGAAGGGAAAGAAAGCGAGTAGGATTTCTCATTTGGAGGTGCTTGTGGGAAATAATGTGGAATAAGGAGAATAGTTATGTTTTGATAGAATTGCTATGTTGAAGTTCTTTAAAATATGAGCTGTAGACTCAGAATTTTGTAATGCTGTGGATGGAGCCCTCTTCTGGAGAAATTTTTCAAGAGGTATTACAATAAGATCAAAATGCACAGAGATATACACACTCAGACATGCACATAGAAACACTGTTGACTACTTAGATGATATGACTGTCATGAAGGTATAAATTAAATCCAGTTTGTCCTTTTCCTTACCTTACACTAAATATAAATTAACTAGACTCCCCAAGCAACTGTATTTTTGGAAGGAAATAAGGATGTTTTCAAGAACCTAGCTATACTTTAACCTAAACATTTAACTTCAGATTGAGGCTCAATTTACACATCTAGGTGCTGATACTTTTAGATAGTGCAGTTATAGGGTACGTTGGTTTGCTGGGCAATTTCACCATAACACATATAGGAAACTTCTGGAAGGAAATAGATTTTACTTAATGGAAAACCCAAGGGCTTAAGATAGAAAAGGGGAGAAGGGAGGAAGGCAGAGTAGAAGAGATTAGCTTCTACTAATTAGATAGACGGTGGAATTTCACAAATTCCAGATTACTTACTCAACTTTGCAGTTTATTAAACCTGTTTTGGGACTTGCTAAAAAAAATATTCAGACAGGTGAACTGTATCACTGCCTCCTTTTACTATGTATTCCATTCCATTTCACTAGTACTCTGAAAATCTTACAGGCTGTCACGTGTTGACTCTAGGTAGCAGGGGGCAGCACTCTCCTCAACCCTGTGTCTCTTTCCTTATCCAAAAGGTTCTGCAAATAAACACTGTTCTTAAAAAATAACACACAAATTTGCAAGAGCACTACAAGACACTGACTGTCATTTAAAATACTGAAAATCAAGATTCTGAATCCAAGGGAAAACTCCTCACTTTATAACGAAATCTCAGAATTCCATGGAACATTTTTAGTCACTCCCAAGGGACTGCCCTCCAAACCTGAACTACTCCCTAAATTCCTAATTCTTGGGGGATTACTCACTCATTGTTAGAACTTTTGGTTAGCTGTAAGTGCTACCCAAATAGGGAGGGGAATCATATTTACCATGGAATTTCTAGCTCATTTCTTTCTTGATTTGTTTCACACTCATAACTTATCGTAGCCAAATTCCAGAGGCCACTTCTGGGACAGACTTTCCCAAAACACCCCAGGGGATAGGAGAGGTGACTGTTCAACTGTGCCAGCTTCCAGTCATTGTTGCTTAGAATTCCTCGCCTCCTACCAAAATGCCTAAAACAGCAACCAAGCAAATAAGCTTACAGAGATTGATGGCTTCCAAAGTCGGACCCAATGCATTACAGCTGCAGTGGAAAAAAACATACAGGCTTGCCTGAACACCACCAGGGCTGAGTGACTAATTTGCTTTATTACACTGTTTTTCCCTTTCTTCTGTTTTCTCTCTTCCCCAGGAAAGTTTTGTTTTTGCTTGTCGACTCAAAGGCTCCAAGATGTTCCCCACTTTTTTCTATGGCACACAGAGTTCTGCCCTTGAACTTCTTGCTGGTTAACTGGATTGCATCAAAATGATTTTTCTGGGAGGTACTATTGCTACCAGGATATCAATTACTATCCTAATGTGGACTTTTGCTCTGATGTGCATAACAATTGAAATTAGAAATAAGCCTCTTAGGGCAATCATTTCAATACACAGCAAAATCTCTGCTTCCTTCTTCTAAATAAATAGAGTGAGTCTTCAGAACCCACATGTGCCAGCCTGGCCCTGGGTGAGGAGACATACCAGTTCATTTGCAAAAAGAACCATGTGGAGAGTCCCTAGTACATCAAGTTCGATCTTGGGGCCCTGTCACGTGGTCTATCTTGCTCTAAAGGAGGCATAACTTTGGGCATCCCCTGGAATCTGAACTGAAAAACCTGCCAAGAGAGAACAAGGACTGTGAAGTCCTGTACAAGGCAATGGGAGGTGCTCTCAGACACCGATGCTCCCAGGGCAGCACGCATTGCATAGGATATCCTGTTGAATGCAATCCTATCCCCACAGCAGTCCTAGGAAGGCAGCAGATTCTTTTACAGTGGAGAATTTGGAAGCTCAAAGAGGTTAAACAACTTGCCCCGGGTGGTACCACTAGCAGACGGCCGGAAGGATCTGAATCCTTTATGTCTGAGGCATGCTCCAAACTGCCCTGCTAAATTGGGATATATGTACACATATACAGCCTTAGGGGTCTTTCCGGTACAGGACAACTGGAAAACTGGTTCACAGCCAGGCTTGGGATTCCATGGCAAGACTCTACGCTGTAAGGACCCCAAGATAATCGACGAGCAATGCCTGCTAGAAAAGGAGCTATAACTGGGCAGCCCTCAATGGGGACCGTATATACAAGGAATAAAGAAGTCAGGAGCACGGGAACAGGCTCGGCAGCCCAGCCAGGCACTTTAGTCTCCTCCCCCATCACTCATCACTACATTTCTGAGATGTTGGCCCATTTTCAAAGTCTAACCCCAACATTGCTCCAGAATTGGTCTCACATTAGAAGACTGCACCAATCTCCCCATCTCAGACAGTTCCCACCTAGGACCCAAACTCCCTTCCCCTCCCTCTCACCCAGGTACTCACACAGGAGCCCCTATCCCTGGCCAGGAACTCAACATTAGCACTCCGAGGCACTCCCTGTCTCTTTCCCTCCTCTCTGCCTGGTCCTGCCCTGCCCTGCCTCCTATCCACCCACTTGCAGGCTGCCAGCTCACTCCAAGTCCCAAAGGCTGCCTGGGAGGCGACGGGGGACTGGGTCGGGGTGCTCTCCGAAACCACAGGCCCCGGAGCAGCGCTGGGCGTGCCCCGCAGCCGCCAGCACCCCAGGCCTGGCTTCAGAACCCTGCTTTCCTGCGCTCAAACTTCCCGAGATCTCCGAGACGCAGCGGGGATTGCAGGCGGACCGCGTCTCCCTCGCCCCCTCTCCGGGTTGGCGGGCCCTTCCCTCGCGCCGCAGCTCTCCGAGGGTTAACAGGCAGCTGCAGCCCGGGTGGGCAAGGCTTGAACTTTTCTCTGCGCTCCGCTCCTGCCCAGGGAAGGCAGCAGAGGCGGCAGCCGGGATCAGGCCGGAGCTCCAGCTGGCTGGACAATAGGGTTGCGGGGGGCTGGGGCCTGCGCCCTGGCGGGGGACGCGCTCCGGCCCTTTCGAGCCCGGGGTCTGGGAGCAAAAGGACCCCGACGCGGGCGCCACCAGAGCCCGCGCCTTTGAGCGACAGCAGCAGCCGGGCTGCGGCTCTCTGCTGCCCCGAGGCGCCTACCAGCGCGCGGCCGGGCTGTGCCAGGGGGCCCGGGCCACCCGGGAAGTCGGCGGTGCCTGCTCGGCCTCTCCAGCTCCGAAGCCCCGCAGCCAGCAATTCGGACCCAAGCAGCGCTTCCGCCGCTGGGCGTTGGGCTGGGGGAAACCGCGGCTCGCTGGAGTCGCCTCCAACTGAGTCTCTCTCCAATGCACCGAGCCTCCGGAGGAGGGAACCAAAGTTACCCCACTTGATGTGGGCGAGAATGTCGCCCCTGCTAGCAAAAAAGGTCTAAGAGCTTTCTCCTCCTCCCGTGAACGTACACACACACACACACACACACGCCGGAGTGGAGTGGGAGCCGGTGGGGGCGGGCGGAATGGGGTGCCCAGGATCTCTGGGCTCAGAATGACCTCCCTTCCGAGCCCCGATCTGTCTTTGCAGCGCCGACCGGAGGCCCCGACCCCCCGAAAGCCCCCTCACCCTGCCTGTGCCCGGCGATCCGAATGCAGAAACGGGGCGCAGAGCGCGCCCGGCAGCCCCTCTTCCCTACCTGGGACAGGAGGACGCACAGAACGAGCGGAGTTCTCGGCTGCATTTTGTCCGACTAGAAGCGCCCGGCGGCGTTTTCATTCATGCACGCGGCTGCACTGAGCATATTTTCCGTGGGAGCCAGGCTTTGAGGAGAGGCTCTGCCTCGCCAGCCAGCCAACTTCCCAAATAGATCAGCAGCAGCATCACGAAAGCATTGGGTAGAGGCTGATGACCAGGACCAATGGCTTTACAAGACGGATTCCTTCATAACGCTCCCTCGTTTTGCATGGCAGATACGAGGTGAACACCTCTCGAGGAGTGAGCCCCGCGGAGGTGGCAGCCCGTTTGCTTCTTTGGACTGTTGGGGCCCAGCCTCACAAATCACGCTGGGTAATGCCAGCGGATTCCACTTTTCCAGAGAATGGAATTGCACGGGGGACTGGCGGCCAGTTCCAGCCTAGTGCAAAAAGATTCTCTTTATTAAAATGTTAATAAGATCCACTTCATTTCCAATAAATCAAATAAAATGACCCCAGCAGTTCCAGCCCTTTCTACGCCTGGCAAACCTTGGCAGTGGATTTTCTTTTTCTTTTTTTTCCTTTTCTTCCCCCATCATTGTGGCTCAAGTCATAATGGTGTTTGGTGTTTTCCTGCCATGTCACAAATCACAAAGAGGACAGATCAATTCTAGCTTGCAGAAAAAATTCCATCAAGGGGCAATAGATTTTATTAACCGCTCAGGTGAGAGTCTGACTAGCCACCTACTACACAAATGGGCATCTGGCACCAAAGCTGGGATCTGGATTGGAGGCAACTTCTTTTTTCTAGGTGGATGTTACCTTTCAGAAGCTCTGAACTACCCCCAGGTACTCAGAATAGCAGTAGTCACTGCTTAAGAGATTTTATACATAGGGTACTATGAGGGTAAGAGGGGCATCTAGGTCTGCCTTCCCTGGTGGGAATCTAAGAATATACAGAGAAGACCTTACTTCATCATTTCCATGCAGCCTTCCTTTAAAAAGAATTTAAGGTGTTTTACAATAAAGGACATTTGTGCAATAGAATTTATGAACCAAAATAGAAAATCTGGGCCAGAAGAAAAGTTCAGCAAACCAAAATGACAAACCCGAATTCTAATGTATTTGCTCTGATTTGGATTTGAGCTCCCTGATAGCCAAAGCAACAAGAGAAGTGTAAGTTACATAGTTTTGTTGTAGAAACATGTATACAATGTATTTCAGCATCACTTTCCATGGGGCTGCATACTGGAATAAACGCATTATGTAACAGGTAATACAGCAGGACACTGAGTGATGGACCATGCCAAGATCCAGTGGACTGGGATGTATTTCCAGCATCTGGCACAGGGCCTGGAACATGGAGACAGAAATTAGTGTGTGTTAAAGGAAGAGATGGCTAGACTTCGCCAAGATGCAGCAGAAGGTGGGGAGGCGCAAGGAGTCTGGAGCCACATTGTCTAGGCACAGCCCCCAGATCTGCCCCTTACTTGTAAGTTACTTGAACTCTCTGTCTCAATTTGTTTGCAGGTGAAATGAAAATACAAACTGTACAGAACTCATAAAGTTGTGGTAAGGATTAATTAAGTGAAGACACATCCGCTGAATAAAAATAAAGTGATGTGCTTTTGAAGATCCTTCATTTGTTGCTATTTGGTCACAAGGTCATCTCCTGTGATCCCAAGGTCATTGATAAAGATGCAGTAACATCTGAGGCTTGGCTGCTATAGCCAGCACTGGCCCAACAGATGGCAATGTTGGCAAAACAACCCCCAGATAAAACTGGCAAAGGTGAATCTTGATGCTTCACCCACTCATTTCCTTGCCTAAAGAGGACCATCCATCCCTGTGCCTCTGACTAATATGGTCTGACAGATGATGTCACAGGTCATGACACTTTGGAACCCCTGTGTGGAGATCTATCCTCACACATGGGTTCTATCCTCTGGAGCAAACCAGAGAACTCTAGAGTTAAACAGGCTTCAAATCAAGGCATCTGAAATATCCAGACTTTTCTCCATTCCAGGGAAAGTGCCATCTTGTCATTCAGGGCCAGATGAACTGAGCCCATGGCTTAGTGACACAGTGATAGGGAAAGAGAGCAGAGAATGGCTTGGGAGGTGATAAAACACAATGAGGAGCTAGACTGCAGAAGATGGGGGTCTAGCTAGGTTTCCATCTGCAGTAGCTAAGTCAAGAGAAACAATCCCTCAGAGAAGGGAATGTCCAAGGCTGCCTTCTAAGGACAATTTCACAGTTCTGCTGGCCTTCTGTGATCTTCCCATTCCCTTGTCCTTAGTGCTGCTTACCAAATATTTCCAGTTTTCCCCCTTTTGGGATCATGGTAGGATTGCACTTACTGGCCCCCCTGTTGCTGGGGTGAGACAGTGTGAGTACATCTAGCCCAGGAGCCATGTGAAAAGTGTCATGTCCCTTCAACACTGGAACATTTACTTTCTAGTGTCAGACTGATTGGTTTCCCTGGATGTGCTTTTTGCCCCAGTACTTACCAAAAAGGGGGAAAATCTTAGGTGAGACAGCTTGGTTTGGCCAAGGACAATTCTCTGGTTTGTCCTCAAATTCACCAACCATATATAAAAGGAGGCTATCAGCACTATGACTAATAATGAGAGGTTGTGATGCCAAGGCCATGAAAGACCTCATGACTGTGATGTTACCAATAAAGATGGATATCATCTGGTCAAAATCTTGCTGACTCTGGCCCCTGCAAAGTCCTGCTTAGGCATTTGCTAAGGTCCTGGGCTTTTGTCCTGGGCTGTTCTACTGGCAGGCAGAGTGGTTCCAGTAAACCTCGCCTGATTCCAGGTGGGTGTGCCCAACAAGCCAGTCTTTATTCCTTCCTTGCCTCAGTCCCTACAGATTGGCTTTCCAGGAATGAGAGGAGTTGATTTCTGGAGTCTTCTTAAGCATTGAGACTCACTTCTGAAATCTCATGAGGTGCCAAACACGCTGAGCCTACTAAGGTGAAAAAAGATTTGTCAGAAAGATAAGACCTGAATGGAGATCTTCAGATTCTACTTATATGAAGAAAGTCTCTTTTGTACCCTAAGACTCAGTTTGTCATCAATAAAATGGAAATCGTAACGTAACAGCCCTCCCAGAACTGTTGTAAATATTGATGTTTCTCTTCCCCTCTATCAATCTATTCCTCTCAACTTTCAGAAAACTTGCATTTTACCAAAGAATGAGAGAACGTATTTTGTCCAATGAAGATGGAAGAAAAAATTATTTCATTTTAATGTTAAGAGGCTTCTGAAGAAGAAATCCATTTTTGTTTGTTTTGTTTTGCTTTTTATTTAGTTGCCTTTAGGGCTATTTTGGCTGATGAATTGATTGATGTGACAAATAAATACTAAAGTTGATCCCTACGTATCCCCACTCCACCACCCACCTGTATCATCTACCGACCAAGCCCCAGATGCTACAGCATCTGTGGGCTCCTCGAGAAGCTATGTCTGTCTTTAGGCACATTCAAGGTTCACGCCCCTTTTCCAGAGGCATCAGCCTAGCTTTGGCACTGAGGGAATAATCCAACAGCCAGCAGCTGCCTCCTGTGGGTGCCAAGGGTTGAGCTTGTTTCCTGTCCTTGGCTGATGCTGATGAACACATTCCAGAGTGGGTAGTTGTGACTATGTGAGTGTGTGCATGTTCCCATGTGTATGTGTACACACACATGGGTGCGTGTGTGTAGGAGGAGGGGGTGACCAGCATACAGTCTAGCAGAGACAATGTATTCAAAATTTGTTATGCTTTCAATGTGCTGCTATGATGAAGCATTTGTATAGAGCAGCGTTAATCCAGCTAGGAGCCCTTTTGCAACAACACAGCAGTTAGGTGCACCTGGGGACCTGGAAAACAGGAATCTACCTGCATGCAGGGATATCCATATCATACAGCGCTGCAACGTACCTTAATGCTAACGGCTCACTCCCTACAATGGGAACGCCTGCTAAAAATAACCAAGATTATGACAATACACTGTCCTATAAGTCTCCCTGGCTACCAAAATGCTGACCAAAAGTAGCATTCCTGATCACTCTTAAGCCACAAACACTGCTTTGTGTTTCTTCGTGGCCCTCTCTGTTACTTGACCTTCTGCTACACACTGTGGCTTGCGTTATCATCTCAATCCTTCACTCCAACCTGCAGGTCTGCCCTTTGCCCCTTGGCTTTGGGTTTAGCCATGCAACTTCTGTGACTAATGAAATGAAGCAGAAGGGGCGAGGTGCCAGTTATAAGCCCAAGTCCTAAGAAACCCTCTGTGTTTTAGCTTGCTCTCGCAAGCACTGCTACTGATGCCTCGAAAAGAGCATTTGTGGGCTATCCCGCTGGTCCTAGGAGGAAAGATGAGCCCCTCATGGACCCTCTGATGTTTGAACAAGCCCAGCAGAATCTGCCCAGCTCAGCTGATCGGCAGGTATTTGACCTAAAAATAAACAATTGCTTTAAATTTGAGGTGGTTTGTTTTGTAGCAATAACTAATGAGTGATTACATTTGTTGGCTTGTTATCTGTCTCTTCCTCTGGAATATAAGTTCATTTTTGTATATTTTGCTGTTCAGTGCTGAGCTTCGGGAGCATGGCAGGTGCGACTTGCTGTGAGGGGGTGAATTAAGTGGCTTTTGCGTTGCAAAATGTGTGATGCTGAGAGGCTCATCACATGTAGCTCCCTAAGATGCAAGGTCTTCTCACAATAGTCTAGACCAGAACTAGGCACAGTGAAGAACATGTGTAATCATGTCAGTGTCTAAAGATCTTTTGTGGAGGAGACATACGGTATGACATCCTTCTAAACTTCCTCGATGAAGGCACAGCTCACACACCTAAGAATAAGACAAAACATACTCCTTCACCTTTTTAGGTTCTGCCCTAATACAGCGTCCTCTATGAATGTGTTTAATACAAGCATGACCTCCACACTCGCAAAGGAGATGAAACCAGGGGTGACTTTTAGACCATCTCAGTTTTTGGCCCAATTATCTTTGGGGGACTGAAGTCCCCCATGAGCAGCAAAACTGGGCATTCAGACACCAATTTTTATCTTGTGAATAAGAAGCAGTTAAAACCCCCCTCTAGGTGTCTCCCTTACCCAAAATTAGTGGCTGGGGTTATTTTTACACAGAGAAACATCTCAGAGCCAGTTCAGAAAAGGCAATGTGTTTACAGTATGGACCGAGACCAGCAGCATAAGCATCACCTGGGAACTTGTGAGCAATGAAAATTCCCAGTTATGCCAGGCCCCTAGATCTACTGGTTTGGAAATTCTGGGGTGGAATCTAGCATTCTGTGTATTACAAGGTCTTGGAATACATACTTTGAAAACCAATGCTCCAGAGAGTTCTCCACTGCTCATTC